TTTTATTGCATTGAATGGTTCATACGTACAAAGTGTTTTTCCTTAATTTTAGCACATTCCGCCGACCCTTGGTAAAATGCTTCTGGAAATTATCGGAATTTGCTAAGGACAGTGAGAAGGGAACATCGATCGAAACAAGTACGATGTCAATGAGTGTTTGTAATGAAGGAAATATAGGTGGCATTGTTGTGTTACCTAGTTAGGCCGTCCGTTAGGTTCACAGGGCAGTAAAATTGGTATTCTCCATTTTCCTGGGTCAGTTAGATATGGGCAGCGTTCTAAACCTACCGTTGATTGCATCACTTCACACTTTTCGGTCATAACGAGATAAAATTCGAAAGTATTTCAAAAGGACCAAAGCATTCTCAAATCTCAAACGCATGGACTGACTCTGTCGACGCAATTTCATCAGTCTGTCTTAAGCATATGGAAATGATTATCCGAAAAACTGCCCTTAACCTCACATTCGGACTAACGAGAAAAGTCTTGATTCCTTGGGTGGGGATGCGGTAGCTGATGCTTGTTAAATAATATGGCATAGATATAGAAAATCTTGATCTACTGAACTACAGACCAGGACACCCTCATAGTGACAGTAGCAATACTAATCTCCTGCCTTGCATGGGGCTGAAACGTGCTGCTTTTTAAATACAAAACCTGATTTGCATATATTTGAGGAGCCATAGGAAGTGTCTATGATGGTTCTTTTGAAGAACAGCGGTTCCGCCATTTAACCCTCAATATAAGGTTGTAAACATTTGGAACATCTTTTCTTCATAGTGATCTGACGGTTCGAACATCAAGTCCGACGATGTCCATCGTATGCCCCACAAAAGAGGTGGGCGTGGAGACGGTTACCTGTAGGAATTAGCTTTTGAATGTAGTAGACTTACTTTGGATCTCCGGCAGTCCCTCGTCCCCACCCACCTGAACCCAGTGACATTAACAAGTCGGGAAGACTTGGAGAAGAATAGAGTGTAGGTTGCCGGCGCGGGATGAATACCCACCTAGGCTTACCACCTTAATCCTGGTCCACACACAAATGACCGATATTTCATAGAGTAAGAAAACGGGTCGGCTCGGATCCAAGCCCATTTGAGTGCCGTGAAGGCCACCTTAAGACGGAGCAATGCGCACGTTCAATTTTCGACAAGGACAAATAGTGCCATTTTTCTACTGTCTGACTAGCCGAGGTTAGCTTGGTGCTCGGTTATCCCTCCCAAGAATTGGTGTGTAGGTGGCATCGTCCAGCTTTGGCGATGTTGTTTATTGTACAATTCGTGCTATTACCTGCAGGCTTTGTCACCTATTTTTGCATTCCGTTTTATGCTTTTCAAATTTGCTTGGTTTTTCACGCGTATTTCTTATTTGCCCTGTTTGTTTTATTCCGGAAATCTGAGTATTTCTGCTTAAGATCCTAATCATCCAGTAGAATTGTCCAGATCTCGACCGATTAAGGCTTTTACTAGGATGAGACATGCGTGTTTTGATAGCTATTTTTCTCCATAATACCTGCAACCACTAGCTCATGTCTTCTGTATTTTCGCCCCAGTCTTCCTGTTGGTTTTTCTTTCCCTTAAGTACTTAGGAGAGACGCTCCCGCCTCCTTTCAGCGTGATTTTGTTCCTCAGCATATCCAACGCACAGTGTGTGATATATGGACTTTGCTTATGATACTGCTAACCTCTGCCCCCAGACCCTCTTAAATTCAACATCTTGCGTTTTCTTGGAATTCTGTATACGCATTAGTTCCCGTCTGTTATGCATTGCCCTCGCTATTTTCCCATTTGGCTACAGGTATTGTTCTGTTGTGCAGCCCCTACGTTATCTCTACCGTCTCGGTGTGTTGGCGGCAGAGTTTGGCGATACTGGAGTGATAATTTCTGATGTATTTAACGTAAGCGTTTGGGCCTGAGCTTAAAGTTACGGCATTGGGCTCAGTGATCAATGAATCCATGCTGGGATTCTACGTCTTTCGGCCAGAGGTTCAGTCATGACTGGGCGAGGGGGAGTGAATATGCCAGAAAGATCTCCCTATCACGGCAACTACTATCGCTTACTGATTGCGATCGCCTGTCGTGCTCTAGACGGGAGCTCAAAGAGAATCGATGAACACCACTCTCGGCTGCCCTTCTCGTCCAGTTACCTCATTCTTAGCGGTCGGGTATTTTTATAATTATTTCCCAAGAATGCTCTATGCACTATTGTCGTGGCTTTGTTGATTCGAATAAACACATTGTTAACTCGATTGTATTGTGTTGTCGAATTAGAAAATACTATCCGGATAGTCGGATTTGAAGGCTTTCCACCGGACTGGACTGCAGCATTGAACAGAAATTTCACTAACGTTGGCCGGATTAGAAATTTCTGTTTGATGTACCATATCTAAAGTTCCGCTCCTACCTTCATAAAAATCATTTTTGAAATAAGTTCAAGCAAGGCTTGTAACATACATGGTAATCGAAAGAATCAAAGGACTAGTAAAGACTAGGTGTGTAGATCACCTTATGTCATTATTGGTGGGTTTTTGTGCCTAATTTTGCTGCGATATTGCCTGAATTTTATTTACAGCTGTTTCCATGTTACTTAAGTGTTTCGTATTGGTATTTCTGATTCCAGCACTAGTTGCCTCTTTAATTTGCCTAATGCCTGTATTTTTGTCTGGTCTGGCTAACCTTTTTGATGTCATTGTTCGTGTCTCCACGCATAGTAATCTGCAGTAACGAGTCTAAAGAGTCCTTAACACTTTAATCTTCAGCGGCAGAAACAGAATACCGAAGGTCTAAGAGCCACTTACAGGTCTTTCCGGACTATTTAAACTGATTTTGAGTTGACGGGGGCAGGGGCATCGGATCGAGCTTAACAGCATTAACCATATAGGGCGGATTACGAAAATACTCCCGAACCACATCATGCACTTTTCTTGGATGGCCTGCGGTATCCTCTCAGTGTTGTTGCAGCGAGTGTGAACTGTGCCATATTGGTCCGGTTCGGGGAACTTCATTGGAGGAACGGTCCTCAGGCGATAGTGTTCAAAAACCTGTTTTCGGTCGTCCTCCGCGCACACACCCCAGCGGGACTGACTGGACAGACAAGTAGCAGATGCGGACCTTCATGATAATAGATATATCAGGACGGCTCCATACGCATTTTAGGTTTTGCAAAGACCCCACGAACGGCATCGATTCGGTCGACGCGGCCGTTCTTTTGACAACTTCGCCTCAAGTCGTTTGATCATTTTTACTTCTTCAAGCTGATGATCACGGATTCCCAGTGCTACCGTCTCTTGGTCAGAAGTACAATCCACAAACACTGGTCTTCTCAGCGTTCATGGATAAACTAACTTATCTAACGATATCGTTCGCATGAGATGCGTAGGCCGTCTCCGTTCGATGTTAGTAGGCTGATACTGTCAGCGTACTTGAGGTCAGTCAACCGGACTTCGGTTGCATAATCAACAATGCGAAGCCCTCGTAAAACCCTTCAGGCATGATCACAGCCGTACCAAGCACAAGAACTCGAGCAATGTTGGAACTGTAGGAGACGTTGATTACGGCAACTAATTTTGTCGGTATACTATCAAAATTAGTGATTCGCCAGAAGGACTCGTGGCGAACGGAGTACATGCTGCGACTAAATCAATAAAATAGACGACAATCCGCAGCTGGTCTTTAGGAATGCGCTGCAGTGTGACTATTTAGTCAATGGGCTTACGTCTAGCCCACAACCCGGCCTGGTCAAGTATCTTTCTGAGGTCACGTACGTCGAAAGTACCTGAAATTGAAAATAACAGAGATTTTTACGGCACCTTCAACAAGACGTATGCCGTTATGGCTCCCGAACCTTGTGTCCTCACCCTTTTTTTAAAACAGACATCAGGAGCGATTTTATATCTCCAAGCTCACGCGCTGGTCAACAGCTGATGTTTTTGCTCACACGAAGACGACAGACACTGGTAAAACGACCCTTAAGTCAGGTAAATCGCCCCGGTCTCCACGAGATCAGTGCATGGCCCGCTTGTTATAAGAGGATGATCGCCTGACTGTGTCCACCAAAAGAGTCAGGTGGGCCGCTGTGATGTAGTGTGGGGTGAGAGTTGACTCCAGGGATCTTGATTTTCTGTAAATCTGAATTGATGATTTGCACTTCGGACAGACAACAGAACCCATGTTGTACTAGTGAAAAATCCGTGCCGTCAGACTCTGGGTACCAGGGTCCAGCACCATTCGCACAGCATCCAATACCAAGGGTTCCTTCCTAATTGAGTAGTTTAATTCTCATACTATGCTCTCACACTGCACCAGGGTTGAGGAGTTCGTCGGTTCCGTGGACACCGTAACATGGACCGCAATGCCGGAATCTGACAATTTTCCTGAGGTTTTTTTGGAACTTTGCGTACAGGCGCCCTTCAACAACCGTTCAGATCGCTCGTTAGTTGTCTTCTCTCGCGCACTGGCTCAAGAAACTGAAACCGGCGCATGGATAACACAGACGGTTACTCATTGGGAGGTCACGGTCGCCATGTCAAGTGCCGTCATTGACTCTTGCGCTATTTTGTAAGGCAGTCAGTCGGGTTGCCAAACCTCAGTCTCCCGTACCATCGCAAACGCTGTCACTGTTCTACTACAGCTTATTCGCCAGATTTAAGAGCCTGTTTACTTTACAGCTGGCCTTCAATGAAGGCTGTTCCGTCATCCGCCACCTGTGAACGCGACAGATATCTAGCAGCTCGTCTAATAGGTAGACCTGTATTCACGAGCGAGCCTTCCTTGTTAATAGTTTGCTTGTAAGCCAATTCCATCGGACTTAATGGTTCCCTAACGAGTTCTGCAGACTTGGTGAATCTCTTAAAAACTGATCGGCGTCTAATCTGTATGATCAATATTTACTTTGCTTTATAGTTTTCAAGTTTAGAACTTATCGAAAGTCTATATCCACGTTATTTGCCTTATTCTACACCGCATCGTGTTTTTGTAATTTGTCCCACAGCCCGCTGAATTATGGATGCCTCCGTTGATGAAATATTCAGGCAGAACACGGTAGATGACATTCGCCGTATCTGTGCCGGAATACGGTAGTGGTGTTTTTTCTCGGAAACTTACCCGCTTCACAGAAATGAAGTTGAAAATAAAAAGGTCGAACTGCGGTTTCTGGTGGGTGAACGACATCGGGACATTATTGAAGCATCGGACAGCATCTTGTTTATGAAGGAGTCTAGCTCTGAGGTTAGTGGCTAACATCCCTCGCATAGCCTCTCTAGATCAGTCGTCTGTTGGATCTGCTAGAGAACGCCTGCAGACCCCTATCCTCTGCCACCTTGCCTTCCACAAAAGTTTCTACGTAAGCATTCACGTAGTTGACAAAGCTATCTCGTCTTCACTCCTTTCTTCTAGATTGGATGCTATAAAAATGAATCAGAAGAAGTCAATAGCTGCCCAGCTAAAACTGCTGCTAGACGTTCCGGAGTTGGTATTCTGTGACTTCTCACTGTCATCCTTTTTCTTTAGACATGGTCTGCTTTAGACGATTCGGACTACACTACGGCCATGCTTTTCTTTCTTCTGGGCAGACATCTGTCCGTGAAACTGCAGCTCAGTGGAGAAATGCTTTCTGCTCACGTGAACGCCAAGGTGCTCTTAAAACGCCAGTGGGCTGCGTTGGACCATGTTGAGACGACGATAATCACTGCTTGCCGTAGCCAACTTTCTGCGCCGTTTGCTGACGAAGAGGTCTGGTACCGACCTAAAAATTCTTGCTCTTACACCTTGCTATTCATTGCTAAATTTTTTGTCGGGTGTTTTGCGGATTATCATCATTTGTCTCTCTTTCCTCTCCGTCTGCCCCCCACTCCTCTCTCTTCAATACCCTTCGTCCTTATTCTCCCGTAATCTTCTTACATAATCATCGACAGTACGCTACATTCTCCTCCTCCTCCTCCTCCTCCTCCTCCTCCTCCTCCTCCTCCTCTGCGTCTTCCTAACCAACCCCAATACAACTGACAGTTCGGTCGCCACATGCGAGGACCTCCACCGCGTGTCCTACAGAGCGGGCGTGGCATCGGCAACTTGCACGTGAACTAGTTTCTAATAGTAGTGGACTTGCACAGCATCTACTTCATTCTGCACCCTCACCACCTTCCTCCAATGGGAAGGCAGCATCGTGGACGCAGTGGCCGACAAAGCTCAGCCACTCGTGACTTGTTCTGCGCACTCATGCCTCCAGGCTTCTATGTGGGCGACTCGGATTTCGCATGCGTGGAAGTTTCACGGAGGTCACATTAGGAAGGAGTCATTTCGATCTGATTATCAGCCTTGAGAAGGATCGAGTTATTCCTTCAGTTGACAACCGCCCAAGCGCATCATGATACATTCAAGCGCGTCAGTTTCATTATTTGTGTGGAAAGTGCTGATTTGCAATATGGGGCGGATTCCCTAGGTTGCGCAGTGGCCTGTGTTTAGGTCAAGCCATGGCGCACATATACGGCAGTAGTTCCGGCAACAGCGCGCACTCAGCCCAATCTGATAAATGCGCGTCGTGGTTTTGATTTAGTATGTTTGCAGTGTAGCCCATTGTTGGGGCTTACCTAATACAACCACTATTACCATCGTTTTCACTAGCAGTACGCGCTGTCATTCGTTTTTATTTAGTTTGCGAATTCCACGCTTATCTAAGGGTCTTTTGAAGTCTGCCCCTTGTGAAAACCACACTCAATCGCTTTAGTGATCAGCTGTGCATATCCGTCTCGGTGAATAGCCGGCTGAACATCCACAATATTTTTTCTGACTGTGTTGTTGAGAGTGGTATGTATATGGCCATTCCAGTCTCCTATGTCTTTGTCGATAATAACATACTGCCTATAGCACGCGCCGCTGTGCGGCTGCTGGTTGGGTTCGAGAGAGAGCCCGTAAGACACAACGGAACGAGTGAGTTCCGTAAGAACGATCGGTGAGCGTCCCCTACCATTGTATATTACCGATCGAAACCGACAGAGCTGTTGGCGTGTGGCCCAGCGGTTAGAGCCGTGGACTTATGACTAGCAGGTCGCGAGTTCGAGCCTCGGGTGTTCCACTCCTCGGGGTTGGGTATGGCTGGCTGATGACGGCTAATGAGCCAGAAACGGCCACTCCAGTCTCCCTTGTCTTTGTCGGTATCATGTCATTTACTTCTGCTACTAGTCGCTGTGCGACTGCCTGCGAGGGTGCTATTATGAGCTCAAGGCACAGCGGAACAATCACGTTCCGTAACCTGATCGGTGAGCACCCATCTTTAGTTTTATTAACTGTCCAAACTCGACTCACCGACCTTCTACTGTTCCCAACTGCCTTGGTCGAAGTCGAGCGGTTTTTATTCACCACTGTTTAATAAAAATAAACCCAAATAAACCCTTTTAAGTACTTTAGATGATATCTGCTATTTGAGTAAATTCACTTTTTTTACTACCTTTTTGTGTTGCAGTCCGTATGCGGGGCTTTGTCGGCACTGACTGTCCTCGAGGATCAGACTATGGAACAGTCTTTGGAGGAATTTCTTTCAGGAAGGACCGTACGTATCACTATCCACCCCATTCTATTCATTTCGTTCGATTTTCATTTTCAGATAATTTTGTTAGTTTTTGTTCCCAAACGGTGTTTTTTACGTGACACGGAAAACTAAATTCGGGTCACTAGAATTCGTTTGCAGTAGCCCAATTGCCTCAGAAATCTGCCTTCCTGTGCTCATTTGAGACCAAAAGGCACTATTGCTCTCCCATTTCCTGGTTAAAGTCTGTACTCGTACATCGATGGGTACTGTTGTCGATCATTACTGCGCATAATGAACGACTTTGACGAACATATGTATGGTAGTCGGGTAGCATGATGTTCCTCTGTTATGTTGTCCGCATTCTTAAATACAAACTGAGCTGCCAGACAATTGTTCCATTTCGCTTTTGGAGACAGGGAGGAAATGAGCCTTCTTTTTCGGAATCATTCTTTCCCTTCTGATGCCCGCTTTACATTTGACTGTTTTTTTTTAAGTGCGAACTGCCTCGCACGACTACGAGGTTTCATTCAGTTAAATACTCGTTCTCCAACATTTTACTCAGTAACAGCTGCAGATTATAATCGCGGTCTCTCCTATTTTAGTTTCTTTTTAAGCGTGATAGGCAAGGCCTTGGGTAGGGGGAGCTCTATTATTTGCCGTGCCGAAAAGTTCCGCCATTAAAGTATTACTGACACGGTATACGTAGCATGGTTTAGCAGAATTATTTCCGTTGGTGTGGTATTTATTTTCGTTATACCCGTTTTCACAGTTGGCGGTTAATAAACTGCTCGGGTGTGAGTCTCCTCTTCCGTCAGCTGTTCCAAGATCAGGTGAAGTACATGAGAGTCACATCCAGTTGCCTGTCCGTCGTCGTCTAGCCCTTGTCGCTGAGCTTCTGTTGAAGACTTTGGATCTTGTTGGTAGACTCTACGCCTGCTGCGAGGAGAATGCCGGTGGCCAAATCAGCATCCAGTTGAAGAATCTCCTATCTTGGCGTCTTAGAGGTATCTCTCTTTTCTGAGTCACGACTAGTCCAAATAACGGACGACTTTTGTGGCTGTACTTAAAATTCTCCTAACGCGAAAGCCGTGCCTTTTATCTCTTTTCTGCTCTACAGACACACCCTGCTTTGCCAGCGACAACCTGTTTGAGTACATTCCTGAGAACGTAGCCTCCTTCCGAATCGATTCTGTTGGATCCGTCTTAAGAAAGCCCGTGACACCAACGGTACTAGATCCGGCAATAACCAAGGACCTGGCAGATTGTTCACCCGAACATCGTGGAGTTCAGGCCTCTCCACTGGACCAACAAGAACTGACTGCTCGCATCAGTGAATGGTGGCAGCAGTAAGTTCCTGAGAAGAATGCTTTTATTTCCTGGTCTATTACGTCCCCACGCTATTACATAATTCGTAACGACAGATAACTCAGGGCGTTATTTACCTCTGTTTTTCGCCTGGTCACTCAGGGTTACTGTGAGGAGGGGACAAGTTCCCTGGAATTGTCCTGGCTTGACCCTTTCCTAATAACAATCGAACACACATCAACTTCGCCTCCAGCTCGACCCTTTGACCTGTCGAATTCGCATTGTGTTTAGAAATGGCCGCATCTTCCAGTCCGTGTCAAAATGGACTAAACAATTACGAGACATGCATTTCCTTCACGGTTACATGTCAAGATTCCAAGGTCTACCTAGTACCATTGAAAGGATTCAATAGTCGAATCGCAACGCGCCATCTGGTTTGTTTCCATTCTTGCTTGCCATACGGGATGCATGAAGTGTTAACCAAGTGGGCCTAATGAGGACCGCACGCCGTTGCCTTGTTTGTTGTGCGTTTGACGGTTTTGTCCCTGCTACGAAACGCTTTGTCCGCCATTCCGGTAATGGTATTTGAACGCGTTGGAAATGGCCTACAGTACTGGTCTTAAGGACTATTGCTGCGCTATCAGTTGTACGCGATAATGGCCGACGTTCCGCCCACTCGCCATGAACTCGCGCATACAGCTGCATCCTCGTCCCTTTGTTATACATAATTGGCCAGCCCAAGCCTCCTGGACTTCCGCTTTAATTTTTTGGGCAATCTTATCACAGGACAAAGGACAATTCCTCATATAGGCACATCCTCCTTGATGCATACACTAACAAGTCCGGAAATCCTTGCATAGTTTATTATTGTGATCGGAAGATCGTTGCCGATCCATCTGACAGTCAGCTATTCACGAATGAAGGCGAATTCTAGGTGTGTGTAGAAGAAGATGGGTGGTCGAGCTTTCGAACTAGTGCAGTAGTCCATCGTCAGAGATAGTAGCAGTAACAGAACAAGGGTCAGTTCTAGGGTTCGCAAGCCAATCATCGACCGAGGGCGCAAGACTGGAGGTGACTGCACAGGGCTCTGTACGCCGGCGCCAGATCGACAAATAGATCGACTGGGTTCTCATCCGAGGCCCAGGCTTCAACCAATCCTCGGCTTGTTTTGTTTCCGACGTGGGTGACTATTTTGGTGGCTACAAAGTTAAATTCATGACCCTTTTCGTAGGTGTGGGCGGCCACTTGTGATAGTGCGTGCCACGTCGCACAACCAGCCCATGTTCGTGTATGCGCGATCCAAACTTGCGTCCAGTCTGAAATGTGTAGTTGCAAGGACAATTTTGGCACTGGATGCGATACCATGATCCAGATTTCCCCTCAGACTTTAACCGGTCATTGATTTTCGTGGCCTTACTGCGCGTGGTGGCTTTGGGGCGGTGTGCAATTCCAACACCTAGCTCCGCATCTATTTTGCACTCTAACTACTACAAGCAAAGTTTGTTGCTGATGTTTCTTCTGCCTAATTTACAGTATAATGTTGTAAAGCACGAATTTTTTGATGTGAACTTGTCCTTAACCTTAATAAAGCGTCCAAAGTTGTAAGATTCCTTCAATGCACGTTATCGTTGAGCGTCCAGAAATGGAGATTCATTGTATACACTGCCCCGCCCTATCTGCCTCTTTCCGTCGACCAGGACCCTAACCGTCTGCCACCGCCAACTGTCGGACTATCTACGCTATGCCGGCGACCTTGAAAGTCTCATTAACACACGTGCGGCCACCTTGCGCATCTTCAGCTCTCCGCCCTCCGACGATCCCTCAGCCCCCACCTCTGCCCCCTCTTCCGAGGCCCTCAGAGCCCGTGCTCTTGGTCGCAGTGTTGATCTCTGGTCGGAACTCTATCAGCCCATTTTCATGGCTCATTTGGAGGTTAGTCAGCTGCTTGGTTTCATCCATCGCCCGCCCCCCCCCCCTAAAAGAACACAGTGTAAATTAAGTGCCATGAAGTGTTGACAGGAAGATTGAGGTTAGAACTCTGTTAAGCGGACTGACAGCGGTTTTGCCGGACTCTCAGAACAACCTAGCTCCATTCTACAGTGGCATAGCCTGAGGATAGAAAACCTGCCTAGTAGAAATGGGATCGGTTGTGGTTGTGGCCTGCCATTGGTGTGGCTAGAAAAGTTTTCTGCAAAACGGTCTACGCAGGCCACCTTCACAACTTCAGCCCCTAATATTCTCAACCTTAAGGGATGTTATTCAGCCTATTCATACTGTACTTGTTTCACTTTCAAGGTTCTGTTAAGTTACCGCCTTGACAGATCTTTTAACAGCATTTAATGATTATGTCGCCTCCCCCCTTCATTTTACCAAACAGTCAAACGTTTGCCTTCTCGTTACCCTGTTAATCCCAATCCGCTTGTCGCTTATCCCTGCTCCTTCTCCCCCTCCCTTATGTAGACGCTTTTGGAAAAGCAGTTGGGAAGCATTTTCACCGATTGGCGTGAATCCGTCCTTTCTGTTGCCAAATCGCTCGACGACACTGACGAATCCAACCCTACTGACAAGGTTAGCTGCCTGTTATAACCCAGCGCTTCGGCCCGTTTCTCTGATTTTTAGCACAATCTTGCTTTATTCAGTGAACAAGCAGTCTGGTATGAGAACGGTTTTAGTGTACTTCTGTACTTCATTGGTGATTTTATTTAAAACACTCGTCTGACAGACTTTTAAACCATGGCACAGTTACAGGCGACAGTCAGAGGTCATTTTAGGCACGCGAGGCTGGTTGGTCCTTGGCGAGTTTAGCAGTTGTTGACTGCCTTTCTTCTTTCCTTCTTCCATTGCATTACGTTCGCTTGACGTCGCTACAGGCCTCAGAAGTTGGGGCTTTTAGTGCCCCCTCTGTCGGAGGGGTTTCGGGAAAGGAGAATGAGTCGTGCCCTGTGCGTCAAAATACAATTCTTATATTCTCTGTATACTTCTTCCGCAGTCTCCGTCTCACGACTTGGAAGTCGACCTCTCCCGCTTCGTCTGGTGTCCCCCCGCCTCCTCCACAGCACCCAGTATCTTCTCAGAACTGATTGTTGACGCGCGGCAACCATCATCAGCGGTGGCATCCCTCCCGCAGCCTCCGTTGGCCTCGCGCGACCTTTCGGAGTCCATGGGTGTAACCTTTTTCGCCTGTCTCACGGGCAGACAGGACCTCCTGCCACCACCTACGCCATTGCCAGCTCCCTCCACCAATCAGGATGGGAGTTCCCACTTGCCGGAGACCGTCACATCCGGCAGCCTGCCGACCCACCTTGTCTGGAGACTGCAACGCCTTCTGGAGTCTGCCCTGAGCTCCAGAAGTCGTGACCTGAATGGGCGTCGGCTGGAGTCGCGGTCATCTGCCACGTGTGTGAAACAGGAGTTGAATCAGCGATTGCACCTCTACACACCGGAGATTATTAAGTAAGTTCGGCTAGGGCCAAGGGGTGGACGAGAAGGCCCTCCTCTCAATGCCTTCTGAGGTTACTTTGGGAGATCCTGTGTGTGTGTGTGCAGTTGGGAAAACCTTTCATTTGCAGGTGTTACATCTCACATGTCTCCTAGAGTAGGATTACAAACGCGCGCAGCAAAAGTAGCCGTCAGATGACATTCTTGTCCCCCGAAATTGTAAGGCAGAGCAGTAGGAGAAGGAGAGAGGTTCGAAGTACTAAAGTATGACGATATAGACATCCTGTTATTTGACACAGTTTTATATGAACTACCATGTCTCCCAAGTTCTCAAAGCGTTCCTAAGGTCTCGTCGTTTTTACTCCCCCCCGTCCCCCCCCCCTAGAAATTGCAAAGCAGAATCAGCATTTTCGTCCCGTCTGAACACAATGCAGCCCCTCAAAAGGCCTGGTTCACGCGATTTCGTTGGAGTTTTTCCTTACTTCGTCTACAATCGTTTGTCAGGTGAAAGTAGCAGGCCGAAATCCCAAGCCCGTGAGGTTACTCACTGAGTTCAGGTCGCTGAGACTGTTGATCGGAAGTTGCACTAGATCACATCGACTCCACGCGACTCTGCGCATTTGGTGGTGGCGTAAGCGGTGTCTTTTTGACAATGCCTCAGGAGGTCAGTTTACATTGGTGGAGGGGCGCTCACCATTCGTCCTTACGGAACTCACTTGTCTCGTTTTGCCTTACGCGCAATCTCTCGAGCCTAGCCGGCAGCCGCGCATGATATAGACAGTATGTTATTACCGACAAAGACAAGGGAGACTGGAATGGCCATTTTTGGCTTATTAGCCGTCGTCAGTCAGTCATACTCAACCCTGAAGTGTGGAACACCTGGGTCTCGGTCCCGCGACCTGTTAGTTAGAAGTCCAATGCCTCTAACCACTGAGCCACGGACCCGTCGTCCACACTTCGGAATTGGGTTTGACTGACTGACGACGGCTGATAAGCCAGAAATGGCCATTCCAGTCTCCCTTGACTTTGTCGGTAATAACATTCGTCAGTTTGCATCCTAGAATAGCAGTAACTAGAATGTCGGACTGATAACCAAAAGAGCGCGGGATTGGGCCTCACGAATGACTGGCTGATGACGGTACATAAACCAGAAATAGTCACACCAGTTGCCCTTGTCCTTGTCGGCAATCTCATTCTGTCTATATTATTAGTCGCTGTGCGACTGTTTTCTGGGCTCGATGTGGTGCCCCGAAACGCAGCTGGGCGTGCAGGTCCCGAAACAGGATCTCTGAGCGCCCTCCACCATAGCACACACTTTCTGGAATAGTACTTGCATGTTAGAGGCATAGGGTCATCTGTCGCCACGGGCATACTGCGTAACATCGTAATGGGATAAACTTACAGAGCTGACAATTTAGCCCGTAGTTGTGCGATTTTGAGCTGTTGGCAAAGCGCCGACTGCACACTTTTAATCCTAAATACTTTCCGACCCGTCTGTTCTTCGGGGCAAGTCTTTACGCCTCTTCTCTCCTTTTTAGGATTTGTGAACGATTTGATAAAGGGTTGTGCGATACCATTGGCCTTGCTGTGTCAGGCGCTAAACGCGATGAGGAACTGGTGTGGAAATTAATTCTTGATGTCGTGCAGAGGCTTCTTCAGAGGTGAACCCTTGAGCCCTTCATGCCATTTCAAAGGTTTTACGATTAGTGACTTTTTTGAGGTAGTATCCCATGAAACCATTCATTACACGCATCAATTGATAACAAAAATCCTGGGAAATCTGATATTGACGGTGCATGTGTTGCCATCAAAAACGACGGCTCCAGAGTATGCCTAAAAGGTTTGTCTACTTTCGTAACTCTTCTTTCTACATGTTCTCATAGTTTAAAAAACTGGTGGCTAACTACAGACATCAGTTTATCGTAAAGGAATGTACTCAGAGTTCAGCCTTTATTGCTTAAGTAACTATTTGGTCTTTTACAAATGGAGTTCTGTCAACAGCTTTCTACTCTATCGAAGTTATCGAGCTGTTTTAGCAGGATATACAGTAGGTGGGCTAACTCAAAAAATTTCAACCGAAATTCCGAAATGCGTTTTCGTTTCGAAAAGATTAATGAATTAGGGTTGTAAAACCAGTCAGCTTGCAACATAATTCTGTAATATTTCAGTTACGCCAGGATGCCGGCTTTCGAATGAACTTCCCTCCGGCTGCTTGCAAAATCTACACTCTAAAAAACGATAACTTAATTAGCATGGATTTTTCTCATTGATTTTCGATGTTCTCACAAGTCAGATTTTATTTCATAGAAAACATGCATAAAAATATTAATTCTTTTACTCATTCGGTAGAAAAGTGCGTCTTCTTCTAATTTCATGCTCCAGGGAGAGACATAATTCAGTTTTAAAACAGTTTCTAATTGTGGGACTTTTAAATACCGTGAAATGGCCGTTCCTAAATCGCCATGTTTCTGCATTTACCTATGTGGCTTGTAAAGTTAATAATATGGATCAAACCCACCGCTAAGTTTTATGAACCCTATATAGTCCCCCTTTATTACCGTAGAGAAATGTGTAGTTTTCCGTACGCGGAAAATATACGGCTTGCAGTTTGGAAACCCTGAATCCAAAAATAACGGTAGAGCGGGTTCAAAATCATTCGGGAATAAGAAAATTTTTTAAAAACCGAATTATACCCTTCTTTCGAGTATCAAATTGAAATAAGAGGTAATTTTCTACCGAATGAGCCAGAGAATGAATTTTTTCAATGCATTTTTCCGTGAAATATAATTGAATTTTTAAGGGTAACGAAAATTTACGAGAAAAATCCATTTCGTTACAGAGTGGTAGTTTTTGCATGAAACCGGAGGGAAGTTCTTTTGAATGCCGGCATCCTGAGGTAACTGAAATATCATAGAATTATGTTGCAGACCGACTAGTTCTTCAACCCTACTTAGTTTGGAGGTGACTCCACGCGTCGGTCATCCGACGAGTATTTCATTTAGGTACTGTTTGGTCGTCTCATCACACGGAGATATGTCTCTCGGTTGATTTGGGCACCGTTTAGTGACACGTCCGTGCCGTGTTCGTCCTATTGGTGTTCGCGGAGGTACCAGATTTCGTGGTCCTCTTATCGGACTTTGAAGATTGAGGTGACTTCAGCTGCCACCACGACTTCATTCAGCCCCCCCCCCTCTGCACACAGGTGCTCAAAATCTTTTACGGTACAGCCATCTGACGTGGTTTCATTGGCTCTCCGCAAGTAAAGTGAAGGCGAAGAAGGCTTGAATTAATTGCCTCCTATCTCCTTGTAGGTTTGAAGCGTTCTCTCAAGAATTTCTTACCTCCTCCGAGCATGTCTCATCTGAAGCCTCCGGAGACTCAACAAGCGGGCAAGTGAAGAGTCGTGGATCCTTCTTTATAGCACGAGCTCTTCTTGCCGTCTTGGACGCCTGTCCGGGACTTGGTGCGGCCATTGTGTCTGCAACCTGTCGCCTTGAAGCTGCAAACGCCGAAGTAACTGCCGGTGTTCCTGCCAAGTCGTAAGTGTCGAGGATTTTCCACATATGCTTGTGGCACTTTATCGTCATCTTCCTCTCGACAGGCGTCACAACCGCCTGCCTTTTTGTAAATTAAGCTCTAGCATTCATAGTCGTTGAAACTTTCCACCCGACAGCTGCCAGCTCGAAACTTGAAAGGCCCGAAGAATGGGCACAGTTCTCTGTCAGGGATCTGTTCCCTCCAAGTGCACCTGTTTAACTCGTGTACACACTAACTGGACAGCAGTTGCTCGTCCTATTTTCTGCATTGTCGATTATGGTTGTTTTCTCTGATAGGCATGCTCTTTTGGGGCATTGCTTGAGCCACGAAGTTTTCGTTACCTGTTACTGTCAGAAATTACCGTCTGTTGTCCGGCGCGACCACTACTGGCGGTTGCAGGATTCTGACTTTGGCGTCTGACAAGTAAACAGTCATAGATCGGTAGTGGTAGTGATGTCAAGGCGCAGAAGATTTCAGCCTGAAAACGAATGACGGATGAAATACCATAAAATCCCATTAGGGCGACTGTGAACTGTCACTGGATGAGTTCCCTTGCCACCGCTGCTTCAGATCCTAGGCATCCAAACAAATGCCACGTGCGCTTGTTGGGAACTCATATGCACTCTCTCCATCCTGTCGAATTTTGTTTCCCCCTCTCATTCTCTCAGGTACACTGTTCTGGCTGACATTCCACGCCTTCGCCAGGTCTGGTTGGACGCCAGTCAGCGTCTGCGGTCTATCGCAGCCCAGCTTAGCTTCGCGGCAATAGTTCAGGCCACGATTCACGATGCGGGCGGAAGGACGGGTGGGCTGACTCCCGCCTTCTCCCAGCGTCTTCTCTCCGCCCTCCTCCATGACGGAACTGGTGAGGACAAGCAGGCACCGGGTAGCCACGAGGATTCCCAGCATCTTCTGGACGGGCTTGGGTTGGATGCGTCCTTGCTGGGCATTTCTTCAGTGAGTTCTGGTGTCGTCTCCAGTTGGCTGTTGTAGATTTCCGTAAAACAGTCATCTTAGACCCTGACCGCATGTTAATGACCGCTTAGGATTATGTGCGTGCATTACGAGAGCATGATTGGTGATAGAATTTATAGTAATAGTAGTACTAAAAGTAATAGCACCAGCGACAGCAGCAGCAGATTTGGTGATACTGGCGGCAGCAGTCGTAGCAGAGCTAGTATTATTCGCAGTAGTATTGACAGCAACGGCACCAACAGTAGTAATAACGGCATAAGTAACAATAGTAGCAATTGCATCAACAATATTTGCAGTACTGGTGGCGGCGGCGGTGTTATTATTATTATTATTAGTAGTAGTAGTAGTAGTAGTAATAGTAGTAGTAGTAGTTGCTGTTTTTGTAGAGATAGAATTAGTAGTCGTGGCAGTGGTAGTAGTAGCGGTAGTGGTGGTAGTAGTGGCAGTATTAGTAGTAGTTGTTGTAGTGATAGGATCAGTAGTCGTGGTAGTAGTAGTAGTATCGGCAGCAGTAGTAGTAGTGCTAGTAGTAGTGGTAGTAGTAGTAGTAGTAGTAGTAGTAGTATCGGCAGCAGTAGTGGTAGTAGTAGTGGTAGTAGTAGTAGTAGTAGTAGTAGTAGTAGTAGTAGTAGTAGTAGTGGTAGTAGTAGTAGTAGTAGTAGTAGTATCGGCAGCAGTAGTGGTAGTAGTAGTAGTAGTAGTAGTAGTAGTAGCAGTAGTAGTAGTAGCAGTAGTAGTAGTAGTAGTAGTAGTGGCAGTATTAGTAGTAGAACTAGTAGTAGTTGTAGCTGTATTCGTAGCAGAAGTATTAGTAGTGGTGGTGGTAGTAGTAGTAGTAGTCGTAGTAGTAATAGTTGTTGTTGTTGTTGTTGTAATTTGACTCGTGGCGTTTTCGATGCTCTCGCCACCGCTCGCGTTAAGTAGGAACCACAACGGTAGCAGGAAAAGAAACATTTTTTGACACTTAAGTTGCACAATTCTTGTTTCCGGCACCACTTTTCCCATTTCAATGTCAGTTTCCTTTACAGTACTGGTTTTGTATGCACCTCCAATCCGTCGCTATTATAGTACCATGCTCGGAATATCCGAACCTCCCCCCCCCTTTGATAATTCACCTGCACCCTTGGGTTTCAGGTTTGGTCTGAAATTGTCATGAAATCCGACGAGCTGGATATCCGATCAAAGCCTGGTGACGCTTTGACTGATGTTCTTGAAGACGCTGTCGCCGTCCTGCGGACCCCCTCTCGACCGACCTGGCTTCTTCATGAATCACTTCTCTCCTCAGCTCGACGTCTGACTAGCCTCACCATGCATCTCTTTCCGCGGTAGCTACGTCTTTTCCGTGTTTCTGCATCATTCCCTACTACCATAATTTTGTTCGCCCTATGCAAATTTCTGTTGGTCACAGTGCGTTGCTCGTCCTCTACCGCAAGACCATTCTTCACGTAAAAATTGGAAGCGTGCACGATGTCCCTAGTATTAGTATTTAGAGAGGATGTTTCGTGCATGCTGTCTATAGGATATAAGTTATAAGAATATAAGTTCTAGAACGCATCTGAAGTCCTTGGAAAAATTGTGCTATCCAAGCAAACATTTTTAATGTATGATTTTTGCAGCTGGCGGAAATAGGCGCATTTAAGTTAGAATTGGGGTGTTAACTAATTATCCTAGGGTTATGCTGCCCGTTGGTCAATACTGTGACTCGTTCCCGTAAGTAATCCTTTCCGAACAAAATCACATTTCAGAATTTCATCTTGATTATTTTCGTCATCTACTGTAAGTGCTGGAAAACATGCGAGTTCCGGGTACTTAAGTTACATAAGAAGATAGTTACTGAGGCTTAGTTTGTTCCTTCGACGCGAGATCATCGCCAGGCACAGCGGACGCTTCCTTGTCGATCTATGTTTAACTAACGCCCGCTAGGAGATATCCTCGACCGTTTTGTTGCAGAGTTCACTGAGCGGACGCAAGTTAATGTCTGCCGACTGAGTTATCGATCGAACGCTGTGTTTCTTGCATTTGACGTGAGAGGTTGTCGTTTTGTCAGGAGAGTGGGAGGTCGAACGAGTGGCCACCAAGGAAAGGTGATTTTTTTGTCGTACAGCAGCCAGTCTAGACTTGCTTATCGGTCTCACCAGCATAATTTGTTCAGCCATACTTGTATCCTATCCGCTAACTGTCGCCAAATTTTATTGCCGGCTGATGACGGCTAACGGGCCAGAAATGGCCATTTCAGTTTTCCTTTGTCTTTGTCGGCAATACCATAATGGCATTATTGACAAATTCATATTCATATTGACCCAACTGTAAAAAACTCGGCTCCTCGGTGTGATTCGAACCCACGCAGTAAGGGGAAGGCTTTAGTACAGCCGGTACAATAATTAATATTACAACCCCACCTAAGTAATCATTTCCAGCCGAAACCACATTTCGAAATGTCGACTAGCATTTCATGAGATTGGCCGGATCACAGCTATCGCGGTTATTTTGTTGTCGAAGTTGTTCATAGCCAGTAGTCAGTAAAATCGGCCGATGCGTTTATGTCCGCAGACAGTCATTCCATATCCCAAGTATTCTGGTAGGGAGCCGACTACCTCATGCGCTATCTGTTTTGGCCGACTGCGAACTCCCTCCCAAACTATGCAAATGACTGCACTTCATGCTGATTGTATATAACTGCACTTAAATTTTCACATGTATATTGAAATGACCGCCTGCCGCACCCTTCGCAGTCCCGCACTGTAAGAACGTTTTCCGTGAAAAAATATGTTACTGACAAAATTATAGTAAGATGTGCATTTAACATTTATATTTTATGTACCGTTTTCAATAGGGTCATCAAGGGCATTGCATATTACCCTAAAATACACTATTATTATTATTATTATTATAAATACTGAGAGACTTTGGGTCGAAAATGCACAATCTCGGCGCATAAGTGAGAGGAATCGAATTCGTTGTTGGCATAGTCCGAATTCCCACCATTCTCGTCAGTCATTGTTGATTTTGCTCTATTCAGACTCACCCACCCACCATAGGCATAAATTCTAGTCATGTTTGTAGTTATGACCTCAGTCATTAATGTGAGAGACGGCCGCCCTCAATTCCAATCAGCGCTTTTGTGGTTGTTCAAACGTTTACTTTGGTTTTTAGCTGTGAACTGGGCGACTCCTTTAGTCTGCTCCTTGCAAAGGCTCACCTGGATGCCTACACCTCGGTCTGTGATAGTCTGGACGCCCTCCAGCCGTCAGCCGACGCCTCCAACCTCGGATCCCCGCGGTCTTCCGCTCTCACACAGCCTAGAGCTCTACAGCTAATCTTTGACGTGCGCTTCCTTCTCCGTCTCCTTGTGTGGCCATTGCTGGGCTCACCTGCTGCTGGTGAGGGTGGGGGTCGCGGCCCCCGCAGCCCTCAGATCGCCCAACGCGCCAGCGAAGTGAGCACCCAGGGCCAGCACCTTCTGACCCGCCTGGAACGGGCTGTGGATCCCTTTGATCTTGAGATGAGCGCATCACGCATGAACAGCGATATCACCCGAGCAGTCACCGCGGTCTCCTGCCTCTACGGCATCCTAGTGCCGCAGTCATCGCCCGCTCTCACGGGACTGGATGTGGGTGCCGGCGTCGGGACTGCCACCAAAGTGGAGGAGGAGGTGCCCTTTCTGGCTCTTCTGCCAAACTCGCTGCCCTTGGATTCGACCCAGGCGCCGGCGGAGGCACCGGATGGCGAGAGTGGCGACCGTGGTAGACGCGCAGTTAACTTTGCTCTGTTGCCCTTCTCTATATCCTCGATGCGTCCGCCACCAGCGCGGTTAGCAAAGGTCCAGCAACCGTCACCCGCACCCACCGGAGGAATAGAGGTACTTACTGGCTGGGTGCCACGTTTCCGAATCGAAACGTACTTGCTGCTGGAGCCTGCTATGAATGTTTACTTTGTTTATGCGTTGACGCGCCTTCTTTGCATAGAGCAGCAACTCACCAGTTTGCCCCTTTTATCGGAGTTTGTTGTATGTTGGTTCGGAAGGAACGTGTTCAACTTTGACGAGTCCAGCTAGATAGCTTTACGGCAGGAGGGCATTGCGGTAGAATTTCAGCCAAAACCTTCATAGACTCCCAATTCAGTCCACAGAGGTGGGCAAATTCGCTCGTTTTAGCGTAGTAAACAACCTCTAGTTCCTATATTTCACTATTTCGGAGTGCTGATTGCTTTCATCCACAACGGGCTACGCTTGTCGCGGTTAAACGGTGAAAGCTTGTGCAGTCTGAGCGCTTTCATAATCGGGGCAAATCCTAGTGTTGGAAGAAGACAGAAGGAACCAGGATGTGGGGTTTATTGTGCACAGAACCCGGCATTGTCCTCTCAGGCGGCAGTGGTCACTGGCGAAGCCAGGGCTGCTGTTGACTGCGTCCAGTCATGTCTAAGAGTCACTGGGACAGTGGTGGCAGCCACTTTTGTAGGCCCGTGGGCCAAGCTCAAGTGGTGTCCAGTCAGTGTGTGCTGCATTTGTCGAGGAGTGGTGTCCCAGTGGCTCAGGTTGCGGTTGCAGGGGGGAGGTGCGTTCAAGTGGCCGCATGGGCAGCTGTGGCTGTGCGGACGCAGGCATGCCCGAGCTGTCGGTCGTGTGACTTCAGGTCAGCGCGTCTGGGACGGCTCACTGCAAAAGGGTGAATAACCTTGAGGCAGCGAGGTCTTGAACAATGACCCCAGACCGGTCATGATGGCTGCTTGCTACAACTCCTCACGCACGTGAGGTTGGGGATAAAATTAGAAATCTTCACCCGCTGTGTGCGACCACACAGGTCAGACGATTTCAAATTCAGAAGTTTACCACCTATTCCGAAGGAGGAAAATTTCAGGAGGAAGAGAGAATGGTCTACACGATCGAAAGCCTTAGGGAAGTCGAAATAGACTGTGTAACGTGCAAAACCATTGTCTCTAGCTTGGAGAACATGACCCCAGATAGAGAGATGGCTGGTGTCACAAGACTCAGTTTTGAGGAATCCATGCTTAGGAGCACTCAGTAGGTTGTTCTCTGTTAGGTGACACATCATCTTATCTTTGTTTAACGTCTCTAAGATATTGGAGACTACCGAGGGGGTGTTTATTGGTCAAAAGTCGTCAAATGACATAGAGTGACTGTGCTTGGGAATAGGCAAATTATGGGATTTCTTCCGAAAAGTAGGATAGGTCTCACTTTTAAGAGAAATACAAAGTATCTTGCACAGGAGGGACAGGAAAATTCCATTTCCATCCGCTTTTAAAATGCTAACTGGGATGCCATCGGGTCCCGGACTATGAGAATGATGAAGACGCCGGCACGCTGGACCAGCACGGGATTTAGACCGGCTTTGTTGCTCCCGCGCAAATGGGAGGGATGTTATGGCAAGCCTAGGCGTAGTTCTTCACGTTGCTGCCGCCGCCGCACCAGCCGACTCGCATACACGAATTGTTTGACTTGGTCAGTCACTTCGTCCGCGCCCGAATCCGGTCGTCTTGACGCTGTCTCGTCAGCAGGGTGAGGTAGGAGCGAGCGCGGTAGATACAGTGCAAGTCTGACTCACCAATATGCACGCAGGTCACCGTTGCTGCACCCAATCTTTGGGGATGATAAGGTGGACGTCATTGCTTGCGCCAGCCAAACCATCAGGCATAGATGGTGTAATTCCACTTCTTCTCAATCGGCTGTCTGGCCTGATTTAAGCGGGGGGAGTCACTGGAAATACGAATCCCGGCCATAGGAGAAGAACGATTGTGCGTTGATTCTTGCCAAATGCTGCTAGGTTTCAGCCGTGGACTCTCCCTACTACCTACTCCATTAACTATTTTTTATATTTACCACTTTTTAAATAAATTTTAACTTTGCAATCAACACGCTCTAATTAATATATAGTCGTGTCGGGTGTTTTCTGCCTTCAATAGGAGGGAGTCGACCCATGATACGGACTACACTGCCCAGTAGAATACATTGTAAACCACTTTTATGTTTTTTTTTCTAAGGTCCCCAAAAAGACACCGACGGCCACCTCATCCAGTGTTATGGACTCCTGGTTCGGCCACCTATCATTCTCCTAGTCCGTTCCGTTGCCCATAGTCGGCGGATCCTTCCTCCTCCTTTGGTCTTTCAACTCACTTGCCTCGTCCTTCACATTGTCGATTGTGGGTTTTTTTCTTGTTACTGGAGCCCCTATACACATCCTGCATCCTGCTTACAACTTTTTTTAATCTCACTCCTCGACTTTTTATTTGTCGTTTGAGTGTAGTTCTGACAGCGTGTATGCTTTGGGCAACCATGTCGCGTTCTACCGCTCGACAGGACCCTCTAGCTCCTCGAAGGAGCAGTCGCGAATTTACAGAGATCGATTGGTGCCGCACCGACCTCAGTCCAATTGCAGGGTTGAAGAAAACTTGGTTTTTCTTATGGGGCTGGAGATCTGATAAGAGGCTTCTGTTTGACGTCACCCTCAACCAAACCAGGTTTTATACACCAAGTTCACAGGCCTTAAGATTTTTTTGCCGCAAAAACCCTCACTCTGTGGACTCGGTTGTCAAAAACGCCAGCTGGGATGGAACAGGGCGCTCTAACTGCCCTTCTCTTTTGAGGCTCTGCACAGATTTCCTGAGCCACTCGAATGCCAGGTGGCAGCATGAAAGTGACGAACTAGTTCAGTTGGGCGTTTGAACACGACTGTGAAAATGGGTACATTAAGTTTGCAGATAAAGTAGGGCTTCCCGAACAATCAACCTAGAGTCCACCGGATGTCTGTCGGGCTCTCGGCCGAGATCGCCTAGTTTAGTTGTCCAGAGCGCCAGCTGTATCCACGCCTTGTCCTTACTGTCGTGGGTTTGGATCTCACAGAGGCCGCCGCGCTTTTCGCAATTGGATCGGATTAGTCGTTCAGCTCTGCCTAAAACACCTATTGCTGATTCTTACTCATTATCTGTTATTTACTCTTCTCCCTGTGTTAGACGTCTTTGGGGGCAGAGGCCCATGCCGTCGCATGCCTTCCTCTTAGGCAGTAATATGTGGAATGCTGTTAGCTTCCTGTCGGAGAACCTCTGGTCTACGATTTCTCACTTTTGATGCCCTTACTGCTGCTGACACCTGGGCTCTCTGGGGAGCGGTTTGTGCTTAAAATAACCTAGTCCAGGGCTGCCTTGCATAACGGTTGTAGAATATGTTCTACGCCAAGTCCTTACTGGGCGTTCCCGATCACAGCCGACCAAGTACGCCGTGCTCACTGACCAAAATTCACAAATACTGTTCATGGCATTTAAGTTTGCCCAAGTGGTTTTGTAACGAGGAGAAGTATATGACATGACCGCATGCCTGCATATGCTTCGGAGCACGTTTGCTTCTCAGTGAAAGCACATCAGTTACCAATGACGGCAGGCAGTCATCAGACCAATGTCTTGTTTTGTTCCCAGGAGGCTACTTGTGTGTATTGCTGGATGAATGCCAACTTCTTTGATTAAAGTCTAGCCAATGGACTGTTGTTTTTGAATGACTTGGGGCTGGACAACTTACAGAACTCGTTCTCTAGCACTGTGTTACGTATTCCTCTTTGTTCGCGGACTCGTTAAGTTGTCCTCTTCTGGTGCGATTTTTGTCGTTCTCGCCTATGGACTTACAGCACCCGCACCTCCTTGCTTAATCCCCTGACGGCACTGCGTGTCTCGTCGGCTCCGTGTTTAACAAAAGTTAGTATGAAACAACACCTCGAGACGCTTCTGTAGAAACCGAATCTGCACATAGGTAAACAGCTATCGAAGACTGGATTTTTCACACCGCCGAAGGGGCTGAATTCTGTGGCGCTTGAACAGATTGCCCATCAATCGAAAGTGTGAGTTCCACGAAGCAGTTTAGGAGATGTGCTCGCATTACCTCCCCCTTCCCCCCCTCCCCCAACTTACTTTCCGGAACGGCACTTTTCGCTGGTTTCGACAGGTATCTTTCTGTCCTCATGATAGTGAGCGCGTTTTTCCGCGTTCCTGAGGCAATTAATGGCTTTTATAGAGTTTTGGTTTTTGTCTCGATAAAGTCCTACTTAAACTTGCCAAGTAGCGAGAATATGTGTAATTGCGCGTTTTGCAACCTTTTAAAGAAAGCCTTCTAGACGTTTAATTACTGCTATAGAGGCACAGTATCCTCGACCTAACCAAGGTGTAAGAAGCATTTATCTGTCGTCTTACGCAGAATAACTGCTCATCAACGAGGAGCGAGATAAGCACGCACCGAATTACTTATGCTTCTGGGCGACGTCATCGTAAGCGGCTGCGGACGTTGTAGGCACGCATGCACCTACTTGGGGTAATCACTTTTCCCCAGCGGAAGTCAAGCCAAGATTGTATTTGAAAATAGCCTCATGGTTGTAATCCGATGTTCCATGTACTTGCACGCGAATTGTGGATGGCCCTAAACTCCGAAGCTCGTTTAGGGACAACGCATTGGATTTCGGATCCTGTGTTGATGTAGTCGACTTACCCTCTCAGTCAGTCAACGTGCCGTTTGATATGATGCCGTTTTCCCTAGTCCTTTAGTGGTACGCGCTAAAGTCGCCAACATGCACCGGCAGCTTAATCGTGTTGGGCGGACCTTCATATTTGAGTAATTTTCAGCTGCATTCGATATGACAGCGTAGATTTTTCCTCATTTTTGCCTTCTTTTTCCTTAAATGTCTTCAGAAAAAGGACGCCCGTTGCTACTGGGTGGTTGTCCGTCTGATTTACCATCTCAAAAACAGTAGAGACATAGACGATCATCACCTTTTTTACCATGTATGAACATTGGAAAAAAACTGTCAGTGTGGATGTATTAATCTATATTACATTACTTTTCTCTGATTGCCAAGTCTCTTGGTGGAGCGGAAGATGGCTAGTATGGTTTGATTCCTCGTGATCGCAGAGCCTCAGCCCACAACTTTCGGTGTCTTTGAAGGGTAATCTGAAACAAAATAAAGAGTAGTTCGTAGTGTTTTTTTTCAGCGAGAATCTGGTTTTAAATCTTCCGAGGGTATAGTTCTTTTGGAATGAAATTTGCAACGAAGTGAAAAGTACTCGGCAAGGAAATAGGAAGAGACATACCCTTCTGATGTCTATCTACCTAATTTTCTATGGGTGGACGTCGAAACACAGGATAGACCATTAGTCTTTTCGTCAGTTAGAACTTGATGCCTTTATTGTCCGCCAATTAAAGTTTTTTGAGATTTGGTCCCTGCAAATGTACTATGGGGGAATTCACGTAACGTAATGCGAAAGTGCAAAAAGGGATTCGTTAGAGGTCAGACGGCATGTAGAGCACCCCGTATGTGTTACTGTTTTTTAATCCACTGCTAAGAGCTCAGACAGCGGTTACTGCCCTCTGTGGTTTCACTTATACGGTGATCCGCAAGAACAATGGACACAGAAAAAGGCGCGTATATGCACCTCTAGTGCTCGTGTGATGTAGTATGGGCTGCCTCGCTTGGACGATGATTTGCTCAAAAGCAGTTTGGTTATAGGTATTGGCAACCAGACGCAGGGGTTGCATTTTAGCCGGGATACCCATCGCTCCCACTCTTCACCAGGAAGTCTAAACACGGGAGCTATTTTGATGCCCATTGTTGTCACTGAGCGATTACTGGAACCGTGTTGCCAAGGCAGAGCGAAAACGGAGATGTATGCATGCGTCAGTTCAATAGATTGGCTGATGCCGTGCATATCCCAGCGAGCGCCTTATCAAAATCGACTTCTACAACGAATGCAAATATCTGTTGGTCGATCGACCAAATGGATAGAAAGTGGCGTAGTCCGATCAGGTAGCACATGGTAACATTTCCTGATCGAGGGTCTAAAAACCCCTTGGAAGTAAAGTCGCTTGAAAATCACTTAGTGTCGTAGGACCACCGCTTCTTCGTCCTACACAAGTTTATGTGGTCTATTTTTCCTCGTTGATGATAAAAATGAAGTCTATTCTCGGTTTATGTTAAAATTCTTCAACTTCGTATAGTCCTTTTAGCAGTGACTGTTATAGTGTTTGGTTTTTGTAATTTTATTGGACACACTACAATGCTTAGCCGCAGTCTATGTAGCCTTCTCAGGCAACGTGACTTGCAGCGATTTGTCAACCAATTGCTGCGTTTCACTAACCTTGGCTATGGCCACTTTACGCTCATGTATCTTCTCTTTTCTTCTCAGTGTGCGCATGTCTCGAACACAATCCACGTAGGCGAATGCGGCTGGCACGCGATAGTCTCCAATCAGCTGTTTCAGATTGGCGGTAGCAGCTTCAACCTGCTCTTTTTCCTGAAAAGGTGGGGTAGACATGCTTCAAAGACATGCCGGGTTGATATGCATACATGAAAGTGGCGTGCATCAATCTGTCCTGACAACAGGACGGAAATGATCATTTTTCGTAGTTAGGGGTCTACTTGATTAATAAATGGGAAGGCGGACTTAATACTGTTGAGGAGGTCTTAATTCGATGTGACGCTTAATAGACGATACAGGGTTTTTCTTATTCCACAGATGTAAGTTTGGAAAAATATTACGTGTGAGTTTGCGCCTTGACTTTTTATCAGGCAGGCATGTACTTCCGTCTGTCTTTCTCTCGTCTAGAGAAATAGGTTGGTCCTTGGCTTTTGTTCTTATCGTGATCTGACTCACTATTCTAGAAACATCGTCAAGTCTGGTGTATTTTTAATGGTTATTAAGTTAAGTCTGAGACCTTGAAAGCCAGTGTAGGGGAGACAACAGCTAGGACTGTAATTAATTGTCGAGTTAACTAATTTGCTCATTTGTTCCGCTTACTGTTATGAAAAAGAAGAACTTTCTGCACAGGGGAACCGCTTTCGTAGCGACCGTTTGACAACTGAGCGCTTACCTTTCTCGAACTTTCTATCTCAGCCTTCGTACGTTCCATCAGGTCTCTCCGGGTTTGGATCTCAGACCGTAATACCTTGGCCTCCTGTAACACTGTGCTTAACTTCCTCTAGATATTACGTCGTTCAAAAATAATTCCTTCTACCCTGTATGCATTCACAACTTGCAGTGTTCTGCCGGCGGTCAGTTTGAGACGCAAAAGCTCGTGATTCTTTGCATCGATCGATGCAAGAAATGTAGCATTTTCAATTTTTAACTGTTCGAAGTCGACTTCATGAAGAACTTCGCCCATTTCTTCCTTCTGCCGCAACTGTGCCAAAAGTTTCTTCTTTTGAATTTTCAGCGTCGAGTTCTTCAAACGAAGTTGTTCTACTAGTGTATCCTTTATGTTGGATAAAAGTAGAACGATATTTAGTACACGATGAAATGCATTTATCAGATCTTTTCACTTATTTAAAAAATGTCAGCTCGAAGGAGTAATGTCAACGCATGAGAAATGATAAAATAACAAGCTTTAAAGTCAGTTAAAAACTCTTATGGCGGCATATTTTAATGGAGTTGCAAATCAGTAAGTCTTATGCTTAATCCGCCACACTTGTAGATGCATGTTTCTAAGACCATGGACCATACGCAGACACTAATGTTATGCCCAGAACGTTTCCAACCATTTTGGTGAGAAGATGCATAGTCCGCTAAAATCAGGATCGTTTGCTACTTTTTCTTGTCATTCCTTGTTAAGGAGTACCAAAATCAACTACTCAACAGCTTGTGCTGTACTGCGCTCTCCAGCAGTAGAAGAGTGATCCTGGGTTGAACGAATGCCATCATTGGTCTGATTGCAGGATTTATCGTCTGATGAGAAGAAACGCCTGCTCCGTTTACCTAACCAGCCAGGCGGAGGTAAATTTCAACGATGTATCCGGGAATTAAGTTATCGGGTATATTCCGTCGCCTTTCTGTGGGTAGGTGCGCGATGAAAAACGCGGTCACCAGAAGCTTAAAGGCAGACCTTTAGGAGTAAGGCGACTAACGGACAAATCTCATTGATCAACAATAAAGCTGCAGAAGCTCGGACATTTAAACAGTGGAAAATGATCAAATTGGAAAAATTGTCAAAACACTAAAGAAACACGGGAAAGCTCAGAAATGATAAGGAGGGAGGGCTGCTAGACCGCGGAAAAACGTTATTCATGAAAGCTTCCTGGATCCAGTAAGAATTATATATGCCAATGGCGTTGTCTTTTTAAAACAGAGTAAACAACCAAATTTTCACTAAGTATAACAGTACTGCACTCCGTCGCCACCGCAGAGAGTAACGTTAAACTATGAATGCATACAACACCTCTTAATCAATTTGGTTTGATTGCGTCTGCTTTCAGAAATCAACTGGGATTAACAAGCAGACGAGCAGATAACTCGTTCCAATACCTACTGGAGCGCTGCAAATCTCAACCGTCGGGGCGTTTTCTGGATGTCTTAGCGGCTTTGTGGTTGCTCTTAAATATTTGGTTGCTTTGTAAGAAAAGCCAGTCATGTTTTGTAACGCATTTTCTAAAAAATGCCCTCTAAGTAAGCTGACAATATGAAAATTGTTGCAAATTACGCCTAATTTTGAATCAACAGTTTGAAGTTAACTGATGAGTTAACTAGTTTCTCGAGAAACTAGAAACTCCCAAACGTACGTACCCTTCCGCGAAGGTGTTCCTCCAAAAATCGCATAACTCTTTCAGCAAGTACAGCATGAAAGCGCTCCTGGTATGAAGTTTTGATGACTTCTTTCTCAAAATCATAAATGAATTTTTTGGCTTCTTTTAGCTGTATGTCTGCCTCTTCGATTATAGCCTTTGCCGAGTATGCACAAAGATCTTATGGGTTACCTTGTAGCCATCAATAATCTTTTCCGATGAGGCTTTGAGGGCCGCCATATCCTGTTTATAGTCCTCAATTTCCACTTGCGCTATTGTACATTTTTGTTCAGCAGTTAATTTAAGTGTGCGATCTTGAACCACGCCACGGCTTCTAGACCTCTTCCGGCTCATGCGACTCATTTCCGAGGCTGGGGCTGACACATTCTGAGAAACCGAACATTTAGGAATCCTTACCTTCCTCTGTCATTTCTATCTTTATGTCGAATTTTTTAATATAACGATCCATCATTTGGTTTTCAAACTCCAACTCCTCAATAATTTTGCTTCCGAAATTACTTTCACAATAACGTACGTGTTTTCTTTGATAAAATTATGCAGGGCTGATTCATTAAAATTGTCAAAAGCACTCTCTGATTTCTGCAGCGTTTCGTCCGTGTTCTCATCCTCCATTTTTAAAAGCCCACGTTTAGCAGTAACTAAAATAGCACAGATTGACCCTCTTGCGATGGCTCATTAGAAGGCCATGATTTATGCAGATCCTAGAAAAACTCGTAATGAATCCTACCGAATTTATTGCATGGCTTGGCATCAGAAGGCGTTCTATATTGTGCTCAAAAAGACTCATAGGAGTTACTTTGGTGGCACGAAATACTAACGTACTCGGGGCTAGCCTATTCTGAATTCACGCATTCAAGTTGCAGCCCACTAAGTCAGGGATGATGCCGACAGATCTTCCAGGATCTGTGAAAATATGGCGCATAAGACACGTTTTGTGACACATGGTAGAAGTCTGTAAGGTCTGTGGGGACCAGTAAACATTGCTGGGCGGGACAATGCCAGTGTCATTAGATAGAAGGACATGTGGTTGACATATATTCACAGAAGACTATATCAAACGAAAATACAGGTGGGGGGTGGGGAAAATCCATGTATGAAATGGATTTTAGCGAAAAAAGAAGGTTCATAAAAGGAGGTAGGACCAGGCACAAACTGTGATCCAGAAATCGAGGAAACGTTTCACTGTTATATTCTGACGAGTAGATGGAAGAGAAGGAAAGCGTTTATTTCGAAACAGCCCCTTTATCCTCGCAAACTGCATGCGCGCGGATTCTTAATGCCGCAAAGCTGCCATATTTTGGGTATTTAGCGTTTTGAAACATTGGGGCCTCTGGCCTATCAGCCGTGGATTAGCCGTAGCGTGCACGATGACCCTATCACAAAGACCCCGAATGTTTGACTGGCCATTGATTGATCTGCACGAGTGAGCAAAGGCGCCACACATGCTTGGTGCTGCAGTACAAGCGCGTCGGCTGTCTAATTTCATACGTGTATTTTGTTGTCAGCCTGGTCTACTCTACCGTTCGTGACCAAGTCTTCATTTCGATTTGGACAGTGACTCCACGTCGTTTGCGCTCCCCGTCATATATCTCATTTTTGAAAGTTGGATCTCGCACTTCTGTTTTCTCAGAGCTGAGGCCGGTTTCCTGGAGGTCGCGGTCTTCTGTGGCTCCTCTTAGTGACCGATGATATAGTACAGTGTATTTATGGTAAATACACTGCCTCCGATGGCGCTGCCGATAACGGCGCGTGCAATACTCAAGTTCAAGCAAACACGTTATTCGTGTTGTCAGTAGCATAAACATCTAACAGGAAATTGTTTTAACGGCGTGAGACAGCAGCCGATGCCCACGTAGTTTTTTTGCGCAGATAGAAGACGCGGAAGTTATGCTAGGTAGTTTCCAGATTCTGCGGATGGACCGAAACGAACGAAGGGGTGGGGGGCTTGCCATTTTTATACAAGATGGCATCGACTACTTCAGGGTTGAGTCTTCCCCATTTCGGCACATGGATTATGAAATACTCAATTGTTACTTGAAGGTGCCAAATCATCCAAGCCTCTATATGGCCCTGGTTTAAAGACTGCCTAGCCAGCGGACGGATACGGACGATGCACTTATCATCGAGATGAAAGAAATTTGTCGAAGCAAACACATAATGCTACTCGGTGACTTCAACTGTCCAGACATCAAGTGGGATTTGATGCATTGCACGCGATCAGAAAACTCCTTCGAACAGAAATTTGTGCAACTGATCACAACTGAGTTCCTTACCTAACATGTTAAAGTGGACACTCGATTCAGAGATGGACAGCAGTCCAGTGGTTTGGACCTCATCTTCACTAGGGATGATAGTTGCATTCTCGGATTGGAATAGCACACGCCCCTTGGCCGAAGTGACAACTGCGTTCTTGTTTGGGAGTATAGTCATTTTTCTGTACCCGAAATTCGAGCTACTGAGGAAAGAAATGTATGGAAAGGGGATCATACCCGAATGAAAAACCTGCTACAGAAGGTGAACTGGAATGCAGCACAAGGACCTGAACCAGAAAGCGATTGGCTCTCCTTCAAGAACATAATGCAACATTTGGCAGAGAGCTGTTGCCCACTTAAGAGGCAGTTGCGCACTTCCCGACCAGAGTGGGGGACGTCAGAAATAAAGAACCTTAAATTGAAAAGGAGACTTTGGAAAAAGTACGCCAGATGTCAGCAACCAGAGCATTTCGCTGACTTCGAAAAACATAGGAATATATGTCGGAATCTGCTGAGGAAGGAACGGGCACAATTTGAGTCAAAACTTCTAAAAAATATCCCACAAAATTCCAAAATATTCTTTGGATACGTGAATAAGGCGAAACGCAATTGGGACTGCATTCCCTGTCTAAAAGATCGCCGGGGAAATACGTTGTCTGACAACTCAGATAAGGCAAATCTGTTGTCCGATTTCTTCACGTCTGTGTATACCGAGCAGCCGGCTTTTGTTGAAAGAGTTCACCCCCTAATTGTCAAAACAGACAGTACAATTGGCACGGTGGACTTCACAACAGACACGGTAAGGAAAACTTTGAGTTAACTACAGCCTACTAAATCCCCTGGTCCGGACGGCGTGTTCGCAAAAGTCCTGAATGAACTCCCAGACCAACTGGCTTCTCCGTTATCCAGGATCTTCAGAACTTCGATGGAGGCCGGGGCTTTGTCTACCGACTGGAAGAAAGCAAATGTAAGCCCCATATATAAAGGTGGGGAGAAAACAGCCTCAAATAGTTTCAGACCAGTGGGTCTCACAAGCATCTGTTGCAAACTTATGGAAAAGGTAATAAAAACGGAGCTGATAAGGCATCTTAAAGAAAACAACTTGCTCAGTTTACATCAGCATGGATTTCGAAGGGGTCGATCCTGTCTCACTAACCTGCTAGTATCCATGGAGAGCTGGGTGAAATCAATCGAAATGGGCTTATCAGTCTGTATATATATATATATATATATATATATATATATATATATATATATATATATGTATATGTATATATTGAAGGGTTACATGCAGAGCCCTTGATGACCCTATTTATGTACAGTGCTTTCGCAGATTCATACTCAAAAATAAAATAAAATTGCAGGCAGTTAAAATGTGATTGGGTCACAGTTCAATCGTAATCATAATGTAGTGCATGGGGTCACTGTAAATTAGTGCGGAAGATTGTATATGACAGATTTTACAAAACTGGCTGGGCAAAGTCATGCTGTACAAGCCGATTTCTGTCGACGCCGTGTACACTGACTTCAAAAGGGCTTTTTGACAGTGTTCCTCACAGACGACTTATATGTAAACTACGTCAAGTGGGTGTGAATGGGAATCTGTTGAAATGGCTAGCTGATTTCCTTACGGGCAGATCTCAGCGTATGTGTATCGGAAACACCAAATCGGAATGGGCATCCATCCACAGTGGCTTTCCGCAGGGGAGCGTTTTTGGTCGAGGAAGGTCGAGGTCGAGCCTCTGGTTTTAAATTTGAAGATAAGTGGAGGATATTATTTTGAGTGGTTTTTCTGTGAGACCTAACGATTTTAGCCCCTGTTTTTGGTTGAATTTCCTTAAATACAGGACTATTCTCTCCGAACTGCCTGCTGCCATCTCCTTTTAGGTGCTGCTAGTCTATGCCTGTTGTTCACTAGTCGCACTGCAATTCTCATTTTGTGCATTCGATTTCTCTCTAACTGTTCTAATTTACTTTTACATCGTTAGCCCATAGCTGAGATTCAGTCAACTTGTCTGCCAGAGGTTTTTTTAATCACAACTTGCTCGAGACAAGATGAGAGCAAAAGTCACTGATCGGTGTAAGCTCTCGGCCTCTGTAAGTAAGCATGGCCTAAATAAACGTAAGTCAGAAGCTTTACCTAAATCTAAGTCAGATGATATTACTAGTCAGTCGTCACCCGTTGTAATTGGTCGGCAGCTTAATCTGTCTGCACTTGACCACTGTAATGACTTTATGCTAAAGTTTGGCACTTTGCTGACAATTCTTGGAAATTTATTCGACGGGAACATCTCCGATATTCCCTCTGAAGAATTTAGGCGTCCCGACTCACTTGCTCACCTGATCGCCAGTGAATCTAGTGATAGACAAAAGCGTTCTTACAACTTTCTGTTAAAAAAATGTTCCTCGATCTGCTCGGCCAATTGATGTTGCAACCAATTTCCTGTATTCATTTGGTTTCAACTACAAAATAGCCGATGCTAAACGCTTGTCCTCCCGTAGCAAAAATCCACCCATCTTAGTCAAATTATTTTCATCAATCGAGGTTGACACAATCTTTGCCCATCGAGAGCGTGTCAGTGCGTACCTAGAGAAGGCAACATTTTTCCTTTGTCATGATCTTACTCCAATGGAACGTAGAATCGGGTCTCCCTTCTCACGTAAACCCACTGCCTCTCAGTCTAATACTCCCCAACTCGGTTACAATACAAGTGGCCGTGAGGATTTAGCTTGTCCTACTCCTGCGACATCTGACTCCCTCCCTCCCCTTTCTCCTACATTTCCATCTCACTCATGCCACTTGACGCATTTGTCTGCCCCTTAACTAGCTGCAGCAGCAGCAGCCGCATTTGTCGTTTCGTATCCTCCGGATAGCCCGGCTGATGCACATGAAAATCCGTCTACATCAGCTAGACCGACAACTTCTCTTGTCCAACTGGGTGCTGCAAGCTCTACAGTTAAGTCACC